TCGACATGTGGTTGGGCATGTACTACCTCGAGGTTGCCAAGCCCCAGTTTGAGTGGGACAAGAAGGGGCTAAAGCAGGAGTTGCCTAATGGGAGGACTGTTAGATTGACAAAGTACAAAGTTGGTAGGTTATTTGACTCCTATGGGTGCTTATGCGCACCTGCGTTCTACAACTATTACAAACAAAAACAAGAGGAAGGTATGTACCTAGTCTATGTCTCTGAGAAAAGGGAGGCCGTTAAAACACCCCCAGAGATAGAGACCATCGTTGCTAAGCACCGTGATATGTTCGAGGAGCCTATAGGAGTCGTAGACAGGGAGGTTGTCCATGCCATAAAGATCATCCCATGTAGCAAGACACCTAAAGGGAGAATCTATAGGATGGCTCCAACCGAGTTGGACGAGCTTCGGCGACAACTGAAAGAGCTAACAAAGAATGGTTGGATATGGCCTAGCACCTCCCCCTTAAGCTCACCTGTACTGCTTGTTACAAAGAAAGGGGGAACACTGAGGATGTGCATTGATTATAGGGGCCTCAATGCCATCACTGTTAAAAACGCAGAGCCTCTACCACGCATCGACGACCTATTGGATAGGGTGCAGACCCTATCCAATAGATTGCCACTACCACTGCAGGGATGTAAAAACACAGAGCCTCTACCATTGCAGGGATGTAAGTACTATACAAAGATAAACTTAAAATCCGACTACCATTAGATTGCCATAAGACCAGAGGACCAGCACAAAACCGCATTCCAGACCAGGTACAGTATGCATGAGTTTGTGGTTGAGCCTGCTGCTAACTATTCGCTCGTTTACGATTGGACAGATACATGGTCTGATTCCCCATGGTATATGGGGTAGTCGTGTTACACACACACACACACACACACACACACTCAGAAACACATCGCCACAGCAGCCCCCCAAAACCCACCGGTGACCGGTACCGGCCCAGGCGAACCCCGTTTGCGGGCCTCGAAAACGCGTTCTTGCAAACGTGCTGGCGACCATTTCGTGCGAATGCGCGAACGTGTTCGCCCGAACGGCATGGGCCACGAACACGTTCGCTGTGCTACGCAGGTTGTATGTATGTTACACATTGTTATCCTTTACTCTTTTTTTTCTTTTTCTTTTTCTTTTTTTGGGAAAGATTGACGAGTCTATTGCAATCATGGAATCCAGCGGCCTCAGTTGGTAAGGCGAGCAAGTGGCATTCAGGAAGTCTTGGGTTCAATCCCCATTGGTGTCATGTACCTTCCTGGGCAAGCTTGGGGTCCGCCATGTAGAGATAGGCCGCTGGTTCCCCCCAGCTGCGTTGAGCAGAGACTGCTGATGTTTATAGGGGGAAGGGACCGGAGGGGAGGCACAACGCCTGGCCCATCGACGAAGCTCGGTCCTGATGGTACCGGCTGACCCCTTCCTGGAATCGCCAACCTGCTGGTGGGTGCAGCACCCGCATGTTCCCTGGTTGAACATGGTTGTGGCTGCTACAGGGCTCCCCCCGTAATACTACGATGATAATAAAAAGGACTGAAAGGCCGCCCTGTCCAGATTTGACAGGTAATTGTATTGGTTGGGCTTAAAAGAATTAGCCTTAAACCACCACTACCTTTCCCGTTGCTGGGAAAAGTCGGTAAATAACCTACTCCGCATATTTTGGGGGCTAGGCGAACAATGACCGCCGTTAATAAATTTCATCTGCCCCCACTGTTGACAAATTTCATTCGCGGCCACCGTCGGCCTCCGCAACGAGTGGGACCACCACTCCCACCCCACGGGCGATACAAGGGAGAGGTAGTGGTGGTTAAGAAAAATAAAAAACAAAAAACAAAAAAAATCATGGAACCAACAAGTAGATATCGCGTAGAGTGAATCAATTATAGAGCATCATACATACATACGCTCGCTGAAGCCTCACTCAAGTCCACACAAAAGACGCAGTTTTCATACTAAAGTCAAAGTTAAACACTCAAGTCCACAGGAGAGACGCAGTTCCATAGAGAAGTCGAAAACTTCTCTCTAAGAATTCCCTCATAAGTTGTAACGCAGGAGCATTCTCTATCCTAACTTTCTTTTACGTTGACTTTTCTCAAAGTTTAGCTTTGACTTCCCCCTCAAAGTTTGACTTTGGCTTTTGTCAAACAAAGGTAGTGATAATGTGTTGCTAACCTCGTGTGGACTTGAGTGTTTGACTTTTTGTATGAAAACTGCATCCTTTATATTGACAGGAGCCAATCAATATCATAACCAGGAAACATCACACGGCTAACTGATGAACATTCATGAAGAACAATTCTTCAAAGCTCGGCACAAAGGAAAATACGCACAGGAGCCAATCTTGTCACTGTGCAAAGGAGTCTACTTGCAAAAATCCAAAACACTAGGAACTTGGTTCATACTAGAACGTCTATATCGTCTTTGTATATAGTTCATTCAGTTTTCAAAATTTCAATGCTTGTGATGCTTATCAACATTCATATCAATAGATTGGCTGGCGAAATGTATAATAGAAAAAAGGGGTAAGTACGTTTATGTCACCTTTGAGTATCGAATGGGCAAAAAAACACGCGTCGGCAAAGAAAACCGCGCCGCCGAGTTCAAAAAGGCAACGGAAGTACCAAAGGCCGTGGTGTAAGACCGGGTGTCATATTGCCAGGGGTCAGCCGTGGTGTCAGAGGGGAAAACAAAAAAAAAAGGAGAATGCCCAATGGATACTTTTGGACCGAAATCGCTCATTTCGAGTTGGCGCGTGGTTTCTTTGCCGGCGCAAGTTTTTTTTGCCTTTAGAGTTGCAAAACATGCGGAGTCCGCCGTTATTTCTGAAAAAAAAGAAGAAAGGTAAAAATAAAGAAAAAGAAAAAACAAAGGAAAATGGATAGAAATGGCAGGGAAGGAAGGACCAGATTACTCTGAATCTGAACGCATAATGTGACTACATTCGTCAAATCACACACTGCCACAGCTGCTACATGTCGCTCCCAACATTCCGCCGTCAGACAATCTGAAAACAGTTGAAACCMCTTTCCTCCTCTTTGCCCCSCGCCCCCCCCCCCCGCCCACCTCCATCTCCTTGACCGCACGTCCCCAAAAAAGCCAAAGAACCTGGTCCCCTATGTGCGTCAAATGCGTTGGCCTGTGTACAGGATACCTGGGGCAGATAGATCACAGTGAGCCGTTCATCGAAACTGCAATCGATGTACGACATTGGACCTGAAAAGAACCGAAAACGTACATATGTAGCCCATATTGCTTGCCCAACCTGGCTGTTAACCTTGTTCTCCCCCCTCCCCCTTCCGTTCTTTTTTTATTATTATTTTTTAAATAAAGGTTGTACACGTTCAGGGTAGGGCAGTTGGCATTTCAGCTCAAGAGCGCAGGTACCACCAACCCACCTCACCTTCAGGGTTAACAGACGGGAGTATCTGGCACCGGGAGACCTTAAAGGGTACCCAGTCCCACAGGCGTCCCCCTCGGTCCCCCCGTAGTGCAGCGAGCAGCCCTTATGTTCTCATCAAGAACTGCCTACCCCCAACGGGTACAACTTATTGGGCCATCCCCCCAAGGGGTGCCTGACGATAAGAGCAGTGGGCGAATGCACTGTAGCCCAGCTGCTGGGCTGCAGACTGCAGGCACAGATCTAATCCCAGCCACCCAACTGTAGATACTCCAGAGCAGTGCCAAAGGGCGACCGCCTTGAGGTATCATCATCGAACTGACCGCCCTCAGGTAATTCAGAATGATATTGTGCTGGTCATGTGATTGTACCTGGATTCAAACATGGGTCTGTTTTTCAACAAGGGCTCAGTTTTTGGGTGTACCAACTGAGCTAGGCCTTTCTCCAACTGCATATACAAGCACTAGTGGTTAATGGGGGAAAGTGGTTTCATTGCTGAGCTTTTGGCTCACACTTTTCTTCCTGTCTTTTTTTTGTTTTTTGGGTTGTTTGTGAATATGGACTCCACTCTATGCACTGGTGCTAACTTGCTAAGTCTTGTTAAAAACGCCCTTCGGCTTTCCTTATAAATAGCGTTGAAAAAAAAAAACTGAAAATCAACGTGGCTCCGTTAACCACTCCATCTCTCACCTTGCCACAGCAACTGTCCTCCCCGAGTACGACCAGGGGTGGCCATTTATCTCTATCTCACTGTCCTGATGTGACTTTGCACTGTATAGTCTGATCGTAGTCGGGCGTAGTACCGATTTACGAGAGTGGTAGGTTGAGAGGGAGTCCCATAGGATTAGGGTGCCTCTACCACATGGCCAAGTGCCGAAGGTGACTTCTCACCTGTCTTTAATCCAGCCTGTACAACAACCTGGATTTAAAACCACCAGTACATCCGAGAAAGCAGATTGAGCCTCTCCTAAAAATTTGGAGGTCATGGACCGTCGATAAAATGAGTCGGCGGTCCACGGCCTCCTATTTTTCAGGAGAGGCTCAATCTCCTTTCTCGGATGTGCTGGTGGTTTAAAAAAAAAAAAAAAAAAGGGTACCAAGCACTGGTGAACTGCTTAGAGATAATGACTTGGACAGTGAGTCCACAAAATGTTTCTCTGGAAGAGGGAAGATGACGGAATCCACAAAATGTTTCCCTGGAATCAGGAGGATGACCGTTGATGGGGGCTGCAAGACCCCGATGTTGAGGATGCTCTTATCATCAGTAGAATTGTGCTCTTGCACAATCATGGTTTACCAAGGAGGAGGAGGAGGAGAAGAAGGAGGAGGAGAAGAAGAAGAAGAAGAAGAAGAAGAAGAAGAAGAAGAAGAAGAATGAAAGATGGGAGTCACTTCGAGGTAACACGGAGGAGGAGGAGGAGGAGGAGGAGGAGGGGGCTGTACGTTGTACAGAAATGTACAATGGTATTCGTATTTACAATGGGTGCGCCTTAGAAAAAACTTTGCTTAGAAGTTGCCTTTATTTCCGGCATTCATCAATTGCTACATTTGTTAATTGGAACTGATATTTCCTTACTGATATGTTTCCAATTTGCGCTGAACAGAGAGCCCAACTGAGGGAGGGTTTTCCCTCGATGGTGGAATGTTAACCCGAGGAGGCGTCGCTGAAGCTGAGGCTGGGCATGTGCTGAGGATTGGAGGGGAAATAAGGGAAAGGAGAAGCAGTGTCAAGTACCAAATATCAGAGCTTAAGAACATGCGTATGAAAGCTCAAGAGCTGGAGGCAGACCATCGTGAAAAGCACCGGCAATTTGATGAAATAACTGTTGTTGCTACCAGGTCAGGATTCTGTTCACCTCTCTCTCTCTCTCTCTCTCTCTCTCTCTCTCTCTCTCTCTCTCTCTCTCTCTCTCTCTCTCTCTGTGTGTGTGTGTGTGTGTGTGTGTGTGTGTGTGTGTCCAGGCTAAAAAGAACCACAAACCATATCTGTGTGCTGTTCTGCAGTCACTGCTTGAACTCGCCCACAAATCATCTCTCGTGAAGACTGTTAACTTAGCAAATGACGGGTCAATAGTCCAATGGTTTAACGATGGGGTGGCACAGCTAAGAGAGAGAGTTAAAAATTTTTCCATCCAGAAAGCAAGAGAACGTAAAGCAGTGCAGGATAGCCTGGTATAACAACTTGAGGAATGGGATACACACCTCACCGAAAACCCTTTAGACCGACACTTTCAATGCCCTTCAGCGAGCCAGAAGCCAGCTACAAGAGCACCTGGACAAGCACGCACAAAAATGGAGAATACAGGCTAAAATCAGGAGGACGCCACGGACGGAATGATGTCCATTGTCCAAGACCTCCTTTAGCAAGGCTAAAGCTAAAAGTAGACAGTCCACGGTACCCTTCCTTAAGCATCCGTTCAACGGCTCCCAACTGCCAGCGAGAAACGCGTACAAAATCGTGGAGTGTGCATCCCTCTATTATACAAACTTGTTTACCTCACAGACTCCACGCACTCAGCCGCAGACCCTTGCCCATGCAAGGGCCGCATTGCTGGCTGCACTCCCGTCTTTATTGACCACAACGCAAAAAAACTCTAAATGAACCCATGACTTGCCGAGAAATCCTCCAGGCACTACAAGATATGGACGACGAGAAAACACCTGGTCAAGATGCCTTCCCAAAAGAGTTTTGGCTTCACTTCTGGGAGACATTCCGAAAGGACTTTATCATCTACACCAACGTTGTGTTCCACGAAGAGACATTTGGGGGTTTGATGAAACAAGGGGTGACGACGTTGCGGTACAAAAAAGGGGATAAGGAGGAAATTAGGAACTACCGCCCTATCACCCTTCTGCCCGTCCCTTATACGATTATAGCCAAAGCAGGGGCAAACAAAATGTCACCCCTCCTCCCACACCTCATCCACCCGGACCAATCAGGATTCATGCCATTTCACAACATACAAGATAATATCTTGCTCGCTAATGAAACTATCCACTACGCAAGACAATGGAAGTGGAAGCGGGCCAAGTGGCCATATTGTTTATCGACTTTGAAAAGGCATATGACCCCGTGGATTGGGACTTCCTCGACATGTGTCTAGTAAAAATGAACATTGGCCCACTTTTCTGTAAGTGGGTCAACACTTTCCACAAAACAACCACCACGAATATCACCCTTAATGGTCATCTTGCTCCCCCTTTCCGTCTTCGGCGCTCAGTGAGACAAGATGACCCCATCGCACCAATGCTTTTTGTGCTGGTTATGGAAGCGTTAGCGGCCATGATCAGAAACAACCCTGACATACACAAAATCCGAGTGGAGGAAATACCGGAACACCTGATTCCTGTTACCTCAGTCTTTGCAGATGATCTCACAGTCTTGTTTCGAGCAGACCAAGAAAGCTTCCGGGTGGTGGCTCACACAGTCCACCTTTTTGAGATAGCAGCGGACATGAAGGTCAACTGGGAAACAAAAACCGAAGGTTGGTGGTTAGATCCCCAGGGAGGACCACCACCGACTGACCCTCAGGTGGCCTGGAGAAACAAAGAGTCAGCAATAAAGGTGTTGGGTGTGAATATCACAGCGATGGGCCCATCACCATACCGTGGTGTGGAGTTGGCAATCAAAAAGCTTTCTAACTGGGATGGCAAACGAACATCTCTGGTAGGTAGAGTGCTGGTGATTAACAATGCCATCTTCGCATCCATATGGTACAAGGTAGCATTCTGGCAGCTCAATAGAAAACATATCACCAAGCTCAAATAGGTGGCGACGGCATACCTCTGGAAGAATAACCACAACCACTCTCATTCCATAAAAAGGGTGGCGTGGGACACTTTGTGCAGCCCAGAACATAGGGCGGTCTAGGAATAATTGACCCAGAAGAAGAGATTAAGGCGTTGCTCTTCAAATTATTGATCCGCCTCCTCCTGGCAACAATATCCCGTGGGCCCCGTACGCCTACATCCAGTTGCACTGCATTGCACCCCCCTCTCATCCCCCCTCACCAGTTCACCGATTGCAATGGTTAACTAATAGGAGCTGGTCCCTGTCTTTGGTCCCACGAGGGGTGGAGGAGGATCACTCACCGGAAGGAAGGGAAAAACAGGACCTCAAAGTTGACCCGTTATGGCCAGCAATGGTTAAACTGTGCAGAAAAAGAGGGCCGCAGCGCACCCCCACGACGCCCAGAACGGAGGAGGTAGATCGCCAACCACTTTTTGGACACCCGCACATAACGGACGAAACAGGCAACCCGTTCTCCCTTCAAGGGACCTCCAAATGGAGGCAGTGGGTTAGAAAAGGGGTGTACACAGTGGGCCACCTCCGGGATGGCCAGGCAAGGAACTGGAAATCTGAGAGCTCTCTAAAACATGACCTCTTGCATGATGGAGCTACAATAAGCCATCCCTCTGGCTTGGATCCACGCCCTTAAAACGGGTCCGACGATACAGCCAAATGACCGGGTGGTGCCCACTCAATCTATGCCCATTCCCATGACGGTGTACAAAGTGCACAGTAGCAACAATTGGAACACATCATTACACACCTACTGCCCAACCTTACCCGGGGAACGCTGGTCAGCAATACACAAACAAGAAGACTTGGACACACAACGATTGCCATCCGAGCTCACTAGAGTCAGAGTAGTAGGGAACACTGAGGATGGTCTCTATCTCTACAAGCCATCCATTCCCCTCTGTGACTTACCATTCGACCCAGTAGAATGGGAATGGTCATGGGGTGAGTCTCAGACAATGGCCTTGTGGCAGTACACTGTTAAGAACGGTTATGGAATAGCCCCGAAAAAAGTACAAGTGACACAATAAATCATACATTGGTGGGAAAGAGACTCCCCACTGGAAAAGTGGGACTTCCGGCACTTCAGATGGTCCTCCTCTTCGCACATCAAACTAACCAACCACAGAGCGCTGCAATGGCAGATCATACATATATGCCTGCCAACTCCGGACTGGCTCACAACAAGAACAGACTTAGAGGCTAAAATGCAGCTCTCCCCGCTGTGCATGTATTGCACCAATTCCACACCACGGCAAAGAGCTACCTTGGAACTCTGTCTATTAGACTGTCCGATGGTGACTCAAGTCTGGTGCTGGTGGGACGCGGCTTGTCACCATCTCACGGGGGAACACTTACCATGGGATGTTCGTACCCTTCTGCTGGGAGGTCCCCCAGAGGGTGCAGCAAACTGGACACCTTTTATGACAAACCTGTTCACATGCTCCAGACTAACGGTGCTGATGGCGGCCTGGAGGATGCGATGTGCGTACGAAAGAAAACAACATGGTTTTGGCTTCATGGAAGCATGGGCAACAATTATAGACACTATCACAGCCAACACCCAGGAGGCCTGGAGACAGATGCAATCCGAGCTACGGAAAGAACCAGATGAAGCTAGAACACGCCACATAGCGGATGGATTCAAAACCACCTGGACGGATGGCAATGGGAGACTTTGCACTCTTGACAATGCCCACTCTCTGAAGTGACAGCCTTGGCTGTCAACGGAGAGGCAGTGGGAAAGGCTGCCGAGGCACCGCTTTCAGGTGGCATACCAACCTACTAACTTCGTACTCATCCCATCAGAGGACTGTGCCCAACACCCGTCCACCTATCTCCTCCTGTCCCTCTCTCCCCCCCCCCTCTTTTCCCCGCAACCACTCCCACGACCCGCCCTGACCACTCCCCGATCTGTCTCTTATACACATCTAGATGTGTATAAGAGACAGGCAGTGGTCGGGGCCGTTACTAGGCGGCCATGTTGTGCCTCTAGTGCCAGCGGTGTGTCTGGAGTGTATTTTTTGGCTGTGACAGACCTTTCTTTGTTTCGTGGATGTTTTGCTGGCTTGTGATGGGG